GTGTCCGCTCGATATCTCGAGTAATTATTAACGGATTAACTTCAAACTTCACAACAAGGTTAATTACCTTGAAAGCTCAGACAAGCTCGATAACCGCCATTATCTGACCATAATTTGTGGAGTTATTTCCCTTGGTTTCATTAATGCGATGCATGCGTTCCATGATGTTGTATTGCACTCATTGATCTACCAGTTATATTGAATGATTTCTCTTTTAATATCAATTACTCACAAATACTTCATATATTTCAATCATACAAACAACTGCTCATTCAATGTGTGACGGGCGTATTATATACCGCTCGCGGTAACCTTGTTGATTTTTGCAAACCTGCTTTCAAAATTTTATATTTGTGTATATATGTACTTGAAAGCCTTAGTGTTTATGACTTATTCTTATCATTATAAATGAATGCAATGTTTTTTCCAGGAGGTAGAAATGCAAAAGAGGGACATGAAAACTTTAGAATTTGAACATAATAATTTAAAAATGCAACTGGAGGTTAAAGACAAGCTTATACAGGTGAGTAAGAAAACGTATGGACCACTTGTACCTGTAATCTCACTGCAGTGTGGGCCACTTGTACATGTGCGTTCAATGCAGTATGAACCATTTATAATGTGAGTTCAGTGCAGTGTGAACTATTTCAGTAATTGAGATCGCTGCAATTAGCCGTGTTTAAAGGCGAGACAAAGTTCTCCAGCTTGAACCTTGTACATTTACATGTACAGCAACATCATTATGCAGGCAGGCCCACTGCAGTGTGATATATTCTATAGGCCAGTGCACTGTTGTACAGTTAGTTTCAATGTAGAGTTAACCTGAGGGTGAATACATGGGTGACTTATGTGCAGTATGAACAATATTTACATGCCAGTTATTTAATGTGAACAATTTATTGCTGTTAATGCAATATGAACCTTTTTTACAAGTGAATTCATTACAGTTTCAACACATATTGATGTGTTCACTATAAATATATATGTACAGTGTTAAGTCACATACAAGACTGTCACGTATACAAACTTCCAGTTATAATCCACTGACAGATGATGTTCATGGCTTGCGAGCTTGACACAAATTTCACTTGTGAAGTTGTAAATGTTTAACTCCATTATAGATAAAGCAGTCAACAATGTTTCATAAAACTTAGGCACATGATCTACAAAATGTTATGTGAGCAAAATACTAGTGATTGAAATAAGTATTTATTTCCAAGTACAAAACAAGTTTCAAAGTGATTCAGACAAATATGTAATGTGTGTATGTAAAATAATGAGACACTTTCTGTAAACAGACTACTTTAAATTTCAAACCTGTGTGTATTTTGCATGCTATTTTCCAACAGGAGAGTGGTCTTGTGATATTATCGACAGCGGAGGGTTCCTACACCTTAGAAAAATGTACATCTGTACACAACACGTCACCTGTCCCTGCTTTAGGAAGTCTACTTATATCTGTAGAGGCTGCCGACATACTAGACAAGGCTGGAGATGGGTCATTAGGTGGGTTGTTGCAGGAGTCGATCATTTATCCTAGGCTGTTTTCGTTTATCACGATCCAAACAGTTGGACCAGAGTTGTTTGTTTATGACATAATGTCGGACCTAGTAATCTCATTCTGATGCTGCTTTCAGGCGAGCCCTGACAAAGCCTTGCAAGGCCTGCACAAACTTTTGCAGGTCTGCCTTGATTTATACTCTAAAACGTTACATTTAAAACCAGGCAAACCGGTTGTTCCGCATAAAAGGACGGGCCACAACCTTTATTGACAGTGTTTGAAAGTATTGGAATTTAGATTACAACTGTTCTGGTTCGCAGGAATTTAACTCCTGCTGGCAGAATTAATCTGTCTGATGTTATAGACATGTTCGAGAAATGAAAATATAATCATGTAGAGTTATTAAATGAACAATTCTTCATTTATGCAAAACAGAGGACTGAAATATAAGACAAGTATGTTTGATATTTTAACTAATTATATTAGTCTATTTAGCCTGGCTAGAATTAGAAACAAAGATGCCATTGTTTGATCAATTGAAATTTTGACATAAAAAAAAGACTTTTAACTTAACTGTATGTTTTCTTTAACAGATGATAAAATAAAAAAGTTTGCAGAAGAAAGGAATGTTTTAACTAAAGAGGTATGTTTTATTTCACTGAAATTTCAGGTTAATTATTTAAGTGGAAATCAAACAAAAGTATAAGCCTTGTATCTATAATATATTTTAAACTCTCCAAGACCTAAAAGGATTGGTTCCCTATCACTCTCCAAGACCTAAAACAAATACTTGACACTTATACAAACATCTCAAAATATTGTATTGAAATTTTACAACAAAATTACAGTAATTCTTAACAGCAGTGTTATGAAATCAATTTGTTTGCAGATTAAAAAATTACAAGCTGAATTGGAAGAGGAAACGTCAAAACGTGAACATTCTTCTCCGAAAGTTCCACAAATTAATGGTCCCGAGATGCAGTTGTATGAAGTTCAGAGTAAGTTGTGTTGACATACAGGTGTATGGAGCCCAGGGGAGGTAACTGCTGTTGTGTGTGACATAATACAGTTGTATGAAGTTCAGAGTAGGTTGTGTATGACATACAGCTGTATGCTCCATGCTGTGTATGACATAATACAGTTGAATGAAGCCCAAAGTAGGTTGTGTATGACATACAGTTGTATGAAGCTCTAGAGTAAGTTGTGTATGACATACGCAGCTGTATGAAGTTCAGAGTAGGTTGTGTATGACATACAGTTGTATGGAGCCCAGGGGAGGTAACTGCTGTTGTGTGTGACATACACAGCTGTATGAAGTTCAGAATAGGTTGTGTATGACATACAGTTGTATGAAGTTCAGAGTAAGTTACTGCTTTTGTGTCGACTTAGAAGTGGTGTCAAATCCAGAGAAGCTTACTGCTATTTTTTCAATATGCAGATGTATGAAACAGGTAATAGGGGTTTGACACTAACACTTGTTCTCTGGTCAGAGGCTAGTAGATTTCAGTAAGGCCTTAGAGAATCACCTAGCAACACTGGTCTTTTGGACTTGTAAGAAATATGCTATCATACAATATAATTTGATAGATAGACTATATAAAATAAGAATGTTCTTTTTAGAAAACTGCTTAAAGTGCAGATATATTGCGTGATAATTGTCAAAATTTTCATAAAACCATATATATGGACTGGTCACACTGACATAGGACTAGCAAATAATCTATTCAATCTGTCCTGTGGACTACCGTACTAAAAATAGTTAGTGTCTAACTCTGCGATAATGTGTCTGACGTACTGATCGGAGGTTAACGTCAAGGCATCCTCAATATCCAGGGGTTACGCTCATTTTCGCTCTCTACACCCCTGGAGTATGTCAAAGCAAAAATTGAAGGCACACGGCTAGCTATTTGATTGGTGTCATATAAAAAAAAACTGACCAATCACTAGGCTGATACTTGACCTTTGAAGATTACAGAGGAGCGACGCCCGACTTCAAAGCCTGTCATTTGTTACCGTTACACGACTGCGAGATTCTTTTGATGTACATCAAAGGACCAAACTTGTCTTCTCGTCTCATCCACAAGGTGCTGCACCTTGAGCCTTCGGTTTTGCTATGACATATTCTAGGGGTGTAGAGAGCGAAAGTGAGCGTAACCTATTATTATGCCAACATTTCTCTGGACAAATTGTGGCAGTATAACAAGGTGTTACTGTATTGGGGAGCTGAAAATCTATCAGTTTCAATTACTGTTTTCTGTATTTGAAAAAAATGTTTATTCCTAACATTAGTTAATTAAAAAATATTGTTATGAATCATTACATGACTGTTACTCAAAGTGTATTTTGTATTTTCACAGGGGAAGCTAGCAAACAGATACATGAATATAAACTAAAGCTACAGAAGGCAGAACAAGATATAACCAATCTAGAAGGAACTGTAAGTATTGTAGTGTTTAAACCATTTCTTGTCATATAAGACTAATATCAGTTCTTCCTTAAATAACATTGTGGACCTTATCAAAGTCCATGTTCAATATAAATCCCATCCTTCCACTTCTAACAGAATTTAAAATGGGACCAAATTTGTGCCAAGTACTGATTTTGCCCCTATTTTAACCCGTTCACCCTTGAAGTCACATTTGAACCTTACCAAATCAAAGACTGGGCAAGTCCAGTTTAAAGGTGTAGGGGTGAATCAGTTAATGCCTTACCCTGTTTCTATAAGAGAAAACTTGGCTTCAAAGGCCAATTTTCAATGTACTTATATTCTAAAATGGTATTACGTATAAGTGAAAAAAAATTGTACCGAGAAGAAATGTTTTCTTCCTGCTGATTTCAAGTACATGTAAAATCTTATACTACAAAACAGAACTGATATTAGTGCATACCGCATGATATAGTGATCATGACTTTGTGTCGACAATCTTTTACACACATTTATTTTTTCATCTTAGTGAATGATAAGGACAAATCTATTTCTTATAGCAAGAATTGTCTTAATCTACAAAGATCATCATTAGTACTCAGTTTTTAGGTCACCTGAGCTTTGCTCAAGTGACCTATTCCAATCACTTTCCGTCCGTCGTCGTGCATCGTGCGTAAACTTTTACATAATCAACTTCTTCTCAAGAACCAGTGGATGGAATTTTTTCAAACTTGGTCAGAATCATCCTTGGTAGATGAGGATACCAAATTGTAAAATTGGGATTCCTACCCCAACCCTAGGGGCCAGGGCAGGGCACAAAAGGGAAAATTAACCAATATTTCAAAAATCTTCTTCTCCAGACTCAGAGGTATTACAGTCATTTTCTCTGCATGGATGGAAAGATCATCAGGGGCTTTATTTAAATTGTAAATTTCAGGACCCCCGAGCTATCCGTTCTCCCTTGGGGAGGGGGTAAAGTTTACTATAGTTTATATAGGGAAACAACACTTTTGGGTATATTTTGACAATTTTCTGTTGGAAATTATTTTTACTTGGTCAGAATCATCCTTGGAGGAGGAAGATGGTTTTAAATTGTAAAATTGGGATTCCTACCCCAACCCTAGGGGCCAGGGCGGGGCCCAAAAGGGAAAATTAACCAATATTTCAAAAATCTTCTTCTCCAGACTCAGAGGTATTACAGTCATTTTCTCTGCATGGATGGAAAGATCATCAGGGGCTTTATTTAAATTGTAAATTTCAGGACCCCCGAGCTATCCGTTCTCCCTTGGGGAGGGGGTAAAGTTTACTATAGTTTATATAGGGAAACAACACTTTTGGGTATATTTTGACAATTTTCTGTTGGAAATTATTTTTACTTGGTCAGAATTATCCTTGGAGGAGGAAGATGGTTTTAAATTGTAAAATTGGGATTCCTACCCCAACCCTAGGGGCCAGGGCGGGGCCCAAAAGGGAAAATTAACCAATATTTCAAAAATCAGAATCATCTTTGGTGAATGAGAGTATTACTTTGGAAAATTGGGATTCCTGCCCCATCCCCAGGGGCTAGGGCACTGGGCCCCAAAGGGAACATTTACCAATATTTTCAAATTCTTATCCTTTGATGACATTACAAGTATTGTATTTCACTTAGTTTACATGCTGATTTCCACATCACATCTAAACAATAAAATAAAGCTACCAGTACCTATGATATAACTCAGGAGACCGCTAAGGCCCTTGGGCCTCTTGTTTATCATCAGGTACAGCTAACCTTATCAAAATTTGATTTTTATTTGGTTAGTAGAAAGCAACAGTGTTTTTGCAATTTGTAGTCATACCTGTGCTATTTTGATGGACAATGCGGCATATGTTATTTATGAAAGCTTGCATGTTTCTTGTCATCTGGTAGCAGTTTCTGTTGTCTTCTTACTTAAATTAGAAAATGATATGATATTGATATTATTACTGAACTGAATTATCTAGTCAATTGGAAATAATTCCCTACTAATACACTTTGAAATCTGTGCAGTCATAATTGTTAGATTTGGAAATTATATACATATAGTTCATATTTGTATATACTTCCTTGAAATTTTCTTTTTGTAAATTTCTTTCAATACGTTTTTACCTTATTTTGTATTTTCCTAGAGAAGACTAGCAATGAATGCGATTATCTATAGAATTGAAGTTTCAGCTCTCCTGGCCCCTAGATCCAAGTGATTATATGTCATGGTGCAGCAATCATCCGTTGTCTGCTTTTCTTTCCAATAAGCTTAAGGGATTGATTTTGACTAAATTTAGTCTGGAACATTGTTGGGCCAAGTGGACTGAACCATTGCTTGGTCTAGAGAAAGTAGTATTTTATGAATGGAGGGGCTGGTGACCTCAATAGGGGCAGTGGGGCAGGACCTAATAGGGAAAACAATGGTAAATCCTATTCCTTCAGTATAGGCAGCAATATTGTTACATGATTTTATCTGGAACATCCTTGGACTAAATAGACTCACTGGGTGATGGTGGGGATGCAGAAGTCTGCAGTAACCTTGGGTCAAGGGGACTCAATATTACTCAACATTCTGTGTTGCCCATCTTGGGAGGAAAAAGAGGCCAGGCCATAAAGGGGAAATAGAGGGGAATATCTAAAGAATCTCTTTACTCAACTTTTTTTTGTTCTCAACTTTTATTATTTGCAGTCTTTGGTATTAAACCTTTTTTCAATTACAAATTAAAGACCAGGTGAGCTTTTAAGGTCCATTAGCCTCTTGTTTGTTTATCATTTTATAATAGGATGTATAAAATCGGTGAATGATGCATATTGACAATTTGCACAAAGATAGTTCACTGCAGTTTGCTTTTAATTGGCATTTATTGTGTGATATATGAATAATTTTTCTCATTTTATGACTTGACATATGTAGGTGACTAGGTTAGATTCACAAGTAAAGAGATATAAAACTGATGCTGAGGAATCGGAGAAATTAGAAGATGAACTTAAAACAGAGAAACGGAAGTTACAAAGAGAGGTGAGTGAAGTTTATCAGCTAAAAGACGTGATTGATGTTCTACTGCCATTGGTATTGTCAGTAAGTAATCTACAGTAGTGCTTTCAGTGGACATTGATTTTTTCATTTATTAAAGACGGGGCCTTTTTGTCTTATTTTGGGAAGAAAACATACCAATTGGGCAAGTAATTTTCTGGAGTTAACTGCAAATCTAGGAAATAAGCCATCAAAACGAAATAATTTCCATTATCGGCTCCAAAATGCCCCGAGAGAAAAAACACTGGAGGATTTCCTGTTTCAGGCTCTGGTCTGGATACTCAAATAATGATTTATAGCAGATTATACACACAAATGCTTCACAAGACTAAATGACATCAGGACCAACTCTTGTTAATTGACAATGCAATCAGGTGCATGTGGGTTTTTGGATATGTGTTGTAGGTGTGCGTTTAAGCCTATATCTAAATGAATTCATCATTTGCTTATTGACAAAGCATGGATATATATTATGTAATAATAGTCCTTGCTGTATAAACGTTTGGTTATTAGTAGTTAGTGTTTTCAGTTCCTTGACTACAAGGGACATCATACATTGACTGAATAGGAAGAAGAAAGGAGCAATTCTATTTACCAGTTAATCAGTACGCATATAAAAAAAAAAGCTCCAAAAATGCAGTAAGAATTGACAGGAGATTATAACAGGAAAAGAAATGTATTAAGTTAAGGGAGATAACTCTCGTGTACACATATTTTCTTGAAATTTAAACATTAGGAAAAGGATTGATCATTGAATAAAAATTAAGAAATCAAATGTTATGTTATGATTATGAAAAGAAATTATTAATATGAAAAAACTACTAAAATAAAGTCATATAACAGTTGTAGGTAAATTATCAAGCTTGTATTACTGGTAAACATGCTATATGTACGTTTATTACGTCAGTCAATCTGTAATATATTACAGAAGGAGGTTTGTCTTCTGATGGAATATGGACTCGTGGTTTGCTCTTCAGAAGCTGTAATATAGAGAATATGCTTTCAGATGATTTGAAAAAGTGTACCTAATTATGTGTTTTCATACTGATGCTACATATAGTCATCAAATCATTTAATAACTAGAAAGTAGTAAGTATTTTGTGTTTAAATGTTAAAAAAACATAAAACAATAAGCATATTGTTTTGCTGGAACTTCATATTCACATGATAATTAGCATGATAATATATTAGAGAATAATTGTTAGGATTGTGTAATATCACAATTTATTATGATTCCAGTATCTATGAAAAGAGAGTGGTGCACTAAAAAAAGAAAATTGGATATCTTAATATTGACATGTTTTTCTTTGCAGTTACGAGAGGCACAGAATTATGTGGAAGAATTAACAAATTCCAATAAACACATGCAGAAAAGACTGGAGAAAATGAAACAGGCTCGTAACGCTTTAGTGAACCAGTGAGAGGTCTTCAAAGGCCATGTAGACACAAAGTTTGGTGAACAAGTTCGGCATGGCTTACGTGTGATTCCTGTGCACAGACTAGACAAAATAGTGCTGCATCCTGTCACAGACTACATATAGAGCTTACGTCACTCGGGTGACCTAACCTGATGACGTCATGATGTATACAAATTTAGGCTGAGTTCTGTGTTGCTTCGGATCATTTCACATTCTTCATCCACCTACAGAAATGGCCGTCGTCTTATAATTTCCTTGCTAACTGTATAAAGTTTGCCTGTAAGGTTACCTTGTATAGCTTTCCATTGGCGTGGCAGAATCTGTTGAAATGGTACATGTTGTATAGGAAATTGTAACAAAAATTAAGCTTTGACTGAATACTCTTTTCCTTTTATTGGAGAGTTCAGCAATAAACCGATGATTGTCATGAGCAATGCGTTCATTCCACCTGAGGGAATTGAACTTGGCAATTGTAAATACATGTACGAATGTATTTCCTAAGACTGTTTCAACAGATTCACAGCTTAACTGTGTTAATGGAAAGCAGATCAAGTATTTCATAATCAGTGGTTTTTGTTTGTAAATTTAAAATGATTAATGGCTATTTAGAAATGTACTATGTACATTTTACCCAATCATTTCTATAAATACATATATTTTTGTCGGCGAATATTTTTACAAATTCCAATTTTGATGATTTAACACATCGTTGATATTATAAACTGCTGTATCCTGATAAGGTTTCTATAACAAACACAGAAAAAAATCTTCCAAATATTGCCAATCTCCATGTCATTCAAGTTTTCAGTAAGATGTTTTTTGTGCCATTTACGATCAATTGGATTGGGTTTAAACTTTTTTGAACTTTGTAATTAAAAACCTGGTAGCAATATGATGATCCACACACTTTACAAAGACTACCAATACATTTTCTGTGCAAGAATAATTTTCAGTTGTTTAAGATGGAAAAATGTACACACAACTCACTGTAGAAAGCAGAAATATTGATTTGTTGTGGTGGATTCAGGATATTGTAGTTAGATATACTGTTTATGATACAAAAATCACTGATTACGTTTGCTTATGTTATCGTCTGCTTCCTAAAGTTCATGTTATATGAAGCAAAGCAATAATCACATCGTTCACAAATTTATATTATTGATTGAATGGCTCAATGATTGAAAGCTGAATATTTTATTTGAATATTTATTTATTCATTCAATACATAGTTCTGTAAATATTTTATCAGAAGATTTCATAATTAATATTTCTTAATATTGTAAAACAAAAAGAATATGCCAGTCATAATCAGATTATGGAAAATGGTAATTCACTGTGTCACCGATTAATTTAAACATTTTGATGTGAGATTGTTTATGAACCATTTGGATGTGACATTGTTTATGAACCATTCGTATATGACATTGTTTATGAACCATTCAGATTTGACATTGTTTGGTGAATGACTTTCCAATCGGTTACCATGTACTTTAAAAACAAAGGCATGTTTAGTGAAATAGTCATTATGAAGTGATTTTTGTTAAAATCTTGCAGAAATGATGATTTTTGTATGAAATGATGCATACAGTACAACTATGGCAATAGAGTACTACAGGTATTATACTTGTGGTACGGTTACTATAGCAACCGAGTGATGTGCTGATGTTGTCTCATGAAAGTTGTATACATTATAGCAGTGGTAACCAAGAGCATTTTAATGATTTTGATGTAATATTGTAGGACACTGTATACAGACATATTTTCATTGCAGTGTGAGTTTTGAAGATTTCTATTCCGTCTTTTCGTATTGCAGAGTTATCAGCTCTTATGAGCAGGTATTGATTATTACGTCATTAGTTTGTGTGAGAAAATTACGTCGTTTTCTCAAAAAGTTATGACGTTGTTCTCACAAACAAATGATGCAACAATCAATACCTGCTCACAAGAGCAGATAACTCTGCAACACGAATAGACGGAATTTAAGGAAAACTCTTTCAGGTCATTCACCCTTTCACCACTGTGGACCATAATGAACTCACCCATACATGTATGGTAGAGTCAACTCAAATTACCTAGGGATGAAAGGGTTATCAAAAAGCATATAATAAACCAGCATTTAGAACTTCACAAACATGTAGGTATATTTTTACAAAATCTTAAACATCAACAAAAATATGTACCAGGTACTATAATAATTGTATACCGTTATACCCAATTCACAATGTAAAATAAATGTTTAAGAATAATTATGGTCTTTATTAATGAAAAAAAAAGAAACAAAATCCAGTATTTATTTTATATATTTTGGGTATTGTGTATTTATTAAAACAAGATCACTAACAATTACTTATTTATAGTTGTCCGTTTCTGCAAGAGTTGATGTGCTATATGAGCTGAATACAATTGAAACACCAACCATGTCATAATATTGATGAACATCTATATCCCTCCCTTCCGCCCTTCAGTATATATATATATCTGTATTATACGTATATAGGTTTGTATATCGTGTGGGACATCCTTACTGGTGTTTACAGTAGATTACTGGGTGTACGAAGTGAGATTGGAGATTTTACCATGATATATATATGTATAAACATTCAGTCTTAAAATTTTAATATCATTCCTCATATTAATTACATTTATAATTTGAAAGAAGAATGAGTGTTGTGAGTTTATATATTAGAGGTATAATAAAACTGTTTTAACATAACTTGCATGCAGCCAAGCATTATATGCTACCAAATACAGATTTTTCATTGGAGAGTTTGAAAAAAGTCTATTGTTAGCCTATATGTTAAGAGTAAAAACACAGCTAATAATTTCAGAAAAAAATGTAAAGATAATGTGAAAAAAAATCTATTGTCAAGGTGAAAACATGGGTAATTATTTCAGAAAAATGATGAAAACAATAATAAAGGAAATTTACTTTTAACTAGAGTAGATAATTTCAACAAGATGACAGTGTTACATGAAGTTGATAATTGTTTACATCGTTGTATGGAACACCACTGTTGCATAATCGCCTCGGTGTAGACCCTTACTTTTGCTGTAATAGACTGAATATATGCTGGCTCCCTGTCCAGTACATTTAAGTTTCAACAGTTCCCAAATTTGTGGCTGGTATTTTGAACTTGTGTACATCTGAAGCGAAAGCAGAAGTGCATGCATGAATAACATGATTTTCATAAATGATAATGTGTTTTCAAAAATGTCAAACTTAAAAACCACAGGTATAGGGGTGATTCAAATTGAAAAAAAATCAAGACAAAAATCTTGAAATACTTCTATGAGATATTACAATTATTCAATTCATGACCCATTAAGTTCTTATAAAGAGAATTAGTTGGAAAGCAGTTTGAATTTAAGTATGCATCTGAGTATATTAATTTTTTCACTCTTTATTCATTGCATGATCTAGTGATAGTGTTTTGACCTTTCCACGCAAGTAGATTAGACTTGTTGATTTACAAACCATTCACGGTTTTTAAAACCACCAAGTCCTATATTTATTAGCTCACCTGGTCCAAAGGACCAAGGTGAGCTTATGCCATACCGTGGCGTCTGTCGTCCGTCCGTCCGTCGTCCGTCCGTCAACAATTTCTTTTAAACGACTTCTTCTTAACCACTGATTGGAATTTAACTAAATTTGACTGGAAGCATCCTTAGGTGGTGGGGAATCAAAATTGTACAAATGGTGGGGCTGACCCCCCAGGGGGCTGAGGGGCGGGGCCAAAAAGGGGGCAATTTGGCTAGATTGCTATAAACGACTTCTTCTGTAGAACTATGCACTGGATATCAATCATATTTAATCAAAAGCATTCATGGGATGCAGGGATTCAAAATTGTACAAATGGTGTGGCTGACCCCCCAGGGGGCTGAGGGGCGGGGCCAAAAAGGGTTATTTGGCTATATTGCTTTAAAGCGACTTCTTCTCTGGAACTAAGTGATGGATATCAACCATATTAGACTGGAAGCATTCCTAGGTGGTGGGGATTCAAAATTGTACAAATGGTGTGGCTGACCCCCCAGGGGGCTGAGGGGCGGGGCCAAAAAGGGTTATTTGGCTATATTGCTTTAAGTGACTTCTCTGGAACTAAGTGATGGATATCAACCATATAAGACTGGAAGCATCCCTAGGTGGTGGGGATTCAAAATTGTACAAATGGTGGGGCTGACCCCCCAGGGGGCTGATGACAGGGCCAAAAGGGGGCAATTTGGTTAGATTGCTATAAACGACTTCTGTAAAACTATGCCATGGATATCGATCATATTTGGTCGGAAGCATTCATGGGAGGCAGGGATTCAAAATTGTACAAATGGTGGGACTGACCCCCCGGGCTAAGGGGTGGGACCAAAAAAAGTGTATTGCCTGGAAATGGTTGAGATCCCCACCATATAACCACATATACAATTGTATATATACAAAAGTATAAAGAGAAGAATGCACATTTGCTTCCAGGATGGCCCTAGGGTCTGGCCCCACCCTTGCAGACTTAACCCCTGGGTCATAACTTTGAAACGGTTGAGATCCCCACCCCAAAACTATATATACAACTGTTGGGCATAAAGAGACAAATGCAGTCATGAAATTAGAATTGATCCTGGGGTCTGGCCACAACCATAGGGACCTAGTTTCTGCGCCACAGCTTGGAAACAGTTGAGAGCCCCACCCTATAACCATATAGACAATTGCTGATTACAAAGAGATGAATGCACATATGCTTCCAGGATGGCCTTGGGGACTGCCCCACCCTTGCAGACTTATCCCCTGGGTCATAACTTTGAAATGGTTAACATCCCCACGCCAAAACTATATATACACAAGCTGGGCAAAAAGAGACAAATGCAGTCATGAAATTAGAATTGATCCTGGGGCCTGGCCACAACCGTAGGGACCTAGTTTCTGCGTCACAGCTGGGAAACAGTTGAGATCCCCACCCCATAACCATACATAAAATTGCTCGGCATGAGAAATTGAATACAGATATATGTGCTACAAGGATTGGCCTTGGGGTCTGGCATATTCCCTTGGATCTCATTTGGAGAATATTCTGCCATGATTGCTTAGATAGCCAGGTGAGCGATACAGGCCCTATGGGCCTCTTGTCAGTGTTTCTCCTGATCAACTTTTGAATGTTAACATTTTCGAAAGTCTGTATTGGTGTAAAAGTGTCCCTTTAACGTCCAAAACACCTGAGTTCACTTACTGAAGTCCTGATTATATGCACAGAACAGGGTTGAATTTATTAAAGAATTTTTTATCGTAACCTCAAGTCAGTTTGGACACAATGAATTAGATACCCTCTTCACAATGCAAAGGTTCTGCTCTTCAATTAGCATCCTTTTAGGTTTGTAATTTATGATATAAAAGCAGTTTAGTATAGGCCTAAATACAGTTGAAATCATATGAAGTGAAAGTCTTTTATGTGTCCGTTTCTTTCATATTTGTAAGATTTTAAGTTAAAACATGAAGACATTTAAGGGCAATCACATCCAGAGACTTTGTCTGATGTCTGGGTGCTTCCTCCCTGACTGTCTATCCACAAATTCCTATCTCCATGATAACCAAAGTTCTGATGGTCTAATTGCTTTAAAACCTTTTGGTGGGGTTATAGCATTTCTCAAGATAGAAATAAAAATGTGAAAAAATTCTGATAGAAAGATTGCTTTTATTCTTGCCATCTAGGGAGCATTAACCTTGTTAGGATCAGTATTCAAGGAAGACATCTATTGCTTCTTTGGAGTTTAAAAAAGGTTGTTGTTGCTAAAAATAGAAGAGAAAATGGATCTAAAATTGTTATCCACTGGCATGCTAGGTAAAGTTGTGCTGGCCTGTTATTGCTTTCAGTCTTATGTATAATAAACTACATTGAAATGAGAATTAAAATTCTCAGTGTGTGCTCTTAAAATTCCATTGTCCCACTTTTGAACTGGGTTATCTTTTATTATCAGAATTGACTAAACATTTTGATTTAAATGAAACCTGACAGTGTGAAGGAGAATGAAATGGTACCATACAATATTGGATCTCATGAGTGTTATATTAACATTTATCACATATCATATGTAGTGAGGAGAAAGAGTGTAAATGGATGGCATCTTTTGTGTGTAAGTATTTTCATATCTGAGTGGTCTTCTGTTATTCTGAGAGTTACACTGAGTGTTCAACTAGCTACACCAAGTACATTTATATTCTAATTATGACAGTTGAACCTATATATAATCCTCCAAATTCTGGAAGTAATGCTCAGCAATGTTCTCTGCTCCCCTGGAATATGTCATTTCAAAGTCACACGATAAGCTGTTTAACTGGTTTCAGGTGAAAAAAACTGACCAATCGCTAAGTCTGATACCTGTCCTTTAAAGATTACAGAGGAGCAACACCTGACTTCAAAGCCAGCCCATTTTACTGTTATGCTGGTGTGTGATACTTTTGATGTACATCAAGGGAAATCATCAACAAGGTGTCATGTCAAGAGACTTTTGTTTATCATGACATATTCAAGGGGAGCAGAGGACATGCGAGAGCATAACCCCATGAGTTTCGAGGATGATATCATTTAATCTTTAACTTCACAGGATTCACGATGACGGTGGAACTTGAGTGAAATTATATCATTAATATTTTCATTTCAAATGATTTGGGTACAAATTCAGCTTGGGAATAAAGCAATACTATTATGGGTCCTTTAATATTTTTTTCATTATTATGAAAATGATATACTATTTCAAAGGTAAAACTTGCAGATTGATTTCACTTAATGTACAAGTTTGCTTGGTTTTATGAATATTTAGAGAAGCTTGTTGATATACTGAACAGATATGCTTTACTGCTTTTTTACAAGATTGGTTTCATTGATTGGTCTTAAACCATTAGATTTGACATAGCTTCAACCATGCTCACTTGTCTGAGGGTTTCCTTCAGCAACACAAAATCAAACACATTTAGTTGTGCAAATCATGTCATGTCAATGCTTGCTTTCTGACTTTTTCTCATTGATGTATCAACATTTTACATTTAAGCATTTTTTGCCCTTTTTTTCTTCTTCTATAAATAGAATGTTATGAAAATGTGTGATGTGATTGTGAGATTTGATGTGTAGTTGTTCCCCTTTGAACGTATTTTGTGATTATTCCATGTCTTCCGTGTGTTTTTCACAAATAGTTTGCTTTCACAGAACATTTATTCTGTGTCTTAGCGAATGGCAGGTTTAAACAAAGCTGTCCATGTGTAGCCATGTACAGTGCCGTTAAGTAGCATATTTCACAAAATAACAGACATCTGTATTCCCTCTCCATACCTTGACTGCTAAGACTTGTGTAGTAAGTAGAATGGGTTTGCCACTATATACAAATCAATCATATTATATTGCCATAATTAGCCAGCATTGAAAGCTTTGAGGTCAAATTTTCATGAAGATGTCTTTCATTATCATACAAAAGTAGGTGTTTTTCATTGCTCAATTCAGACGTGAATGACAATTGTTTGGAAGAAAACACACTAACTAGGGCATTAAAAACCCTGCTGATGTGTTCTAGTTTGTCATTCTCCTTTAGAAATTGTTCTTTAGTGCAGGTAAAATATTTAAAATGTGCAATAGTCTCACTTATAAGGTGATAATGTAGTTCCATCAAGTTTATATTTAGTAACAACTCTATCGGATGAAAGCCTAAAAATAACCTCTGTAACCTTAATCTGAGGTTTTTAGTCTTGACTTGGATTGTTTGTAATTAACACAATATGTTTTGGATCCTTTCTAATTAGGATGACCAGACTTGATGGTTTGAGTGATGATGGCATAAGAATCGGTTTGGGACACAATATTCATTGTTTTGACTAGTAATGGGCCCTGTCATTAGACTTGCACTCTATTGTTTTGATTTTAGTGTTAGCATTCTAGATATACAATAGACACTAATAAAAAAAACGTCAATTGAGTTTGAATGTCTGCAAATCAGATATATAACCAGGAAAAGTTCCATTGGACTTTGGGAGATTTTTTACAATATTTAAGGCATCCATTAATTCCAGAATCATTCCCTTGTATATCTTCACACCTTAAAGCTCTGTGTCTAAAATGATTATGGATAAAAAATATTTATTCTGATAATGTTTATGTCGGAGCATTTTAGGAATTAAGTTCCAGGTTTTTAGTTTCACCATTGAGACAAGAACTTTTAAAATCGTGACTTTCAGTTTGTTTGTATAGCTACTGGTACTGTGAAATCACTAATTTTGGTGGGGTTTTAATTTTGCTGATTTTGTGGGTAGTCTTCATCAACATGTTCAAGGTCCATGAAGTAATTACAAGTTTGACAAATCCACAAAAGGGTGCTTTTTCGAAAACTTACAACATTTGGGTCCCACAAAAATATCTGAATTCACAGTATATGAAGTTTATGAAAACTTATTAATCAGTACCTCTCAATCCTACTGTTTTATTCTGGATCTTTTCTTTTGTATATTCTGCTAATATTTAAAGGACTTAAGCTTTAGATATCTAGAGAAATAGACATAACAGTAAGAACTTTAATTTTGAATATTTAGTTGTGCTTACATTGCGCATCTAGTTATATTG